CATCAACAGAACCGGTGGTTGAAGCGCCATGCTGCGGGGGTACTCGGGCAGAGCATGCGTAAAATCCGGGACGCTGGCTAGAAAATATCTTCTCTCCTTGTACGCTCCTGAAATGCCATTTGAACTTGGCATTTTATTTTAGCTCAGCAATATCCTTATGCCACAGCATTTTAAATCCTCTTTTCCTTGCTTTCAACACCCTGCATCATCAGACAGTACCTTTCCCATAAAGCATCACCGCTGTAAAAATAAAATGCCACGGCAAACTGAAATCCACCACATGCAACTATATGCTCCTAAATGCATCTAAATGGTTCTAATGGTCTTTTAGACATTCAATAACTTAAGTAAAAAGGTACAAAATGTGACCTTTATGGAGTTATCAGTACTCATCATGATTTAGCTCATGTTGTTAGTCAGTTTGTAAGTACATGTCTAAACTGGTAAACAACATGGAAGAAATCAAGTGGATCTTTAGGTACTTAAAGGGTACTATGGGACATGGAATTATTTTGGTAGTCAGCGGGATAATCCTTTGGTTGTAGGATATGTGCACTCAGACTATACCGGTGACTTGGATAATAGAGATCTACGACAGGGTATATCTTTAAAGGTGGTGTCTCTAATGGCTTATGAAGAGCCCGAGGTATCTTTAACTCAAATGAATTTAATTCATATACATTTGAGTTTTATAAGATGCTTTTAATAGGTTATATTCGGAGTTTGAGACCATGAACTCCAAATATAAGAAAATGATTTCAAAATTTAAAATTGAAAACGATTTTCTTTGAAAACAAAATAGAATTTGAAAGCCAAAATGAAATTTTGAAAAAGGATTTAGAGCTTTCAAAAATAAAAATGATAGTTTTGAAAAACAAAATTTTGATTTAAAAGTTAAGCTTGAATGCTTAACAAAAGAAAATAAATCATTTTAAATAATTCATTTAGTTCAATAATGACAATATGCTCACATTGTCATTATCATGGTCATTGGAACATACTTGTCCTTTGAAGAAAGGAAAACGTTTTAAATTAGGCAAGTATGGATTCCGAAGGAACAAGGGGCATTGAAACTAACGTCCAAGGATCCAAAGCAATTTTGATACCAAAATCTACTTAAATGTCTCTTGTAGGTGTGTGGGAGCAATGGTGATGAGAGTGATGATATTCAAGATGCTCTAGCCACACATGAAAAAGGAATGGGTAACCTCTAATCTTAATGCTTTTAATTTTGGTTATTGGTTGCTCATTTGATTTTTAGCATGCATGAGTTTTGTTTTTAAATGATTATGCATCATGTTTTAATCTCATGTATGTTGAAAGATGATTATGATGAACATTCTAAAGTTATATTAATTTTTAAGAATTTTAGTTCATCATAATAAATTTTGGTCAAAATTAGTTTTAATGCTATCTCTCTAACAATTGATATCAAATTTCAAATACTTTGATTTTACAAATTTAAAATTTTTGACTAAATTTGAATGTTTAGCATGTGGTTTAAATGAAATGATATCTCTCTAACAATTGATATCAAAATTTTCAAATGCATAACATTTTTGGAAAACTTTATGCATATGATCTTAAATTCAACAATTGGTAATGCATAAAGTATTTTAGTCTTGGATATATTGAATTCATGTGCTACTAACATGTTGTTATTCTTTGTTGAAATTCAATTTTGTTTAAGTGTGTCTTGTCTTAAAGCTAATTTTATTTGGAATGCATTTATTGAAGGGGAGCTTTGATTTTTCAAATGATTTTTAAAATGTCAAATTTATTACTTACTCTCCAAAGTTATTTTGAACTTCAAGATTAGAGTCTTTTGATTTAACAAAAAGGGGAGAAGTGTAAGGTGTTAAAGGGGAGAAGTGTTAAAGTAAGGGGAGTAATTTCAAACTTGATTTCAAATCTTAAAATTACTCAAATGTTTTGTTATATCAAAAAGGGGGAGATTGTTGAAAACATTTTGATGTTTCGATATAACAAATTAAGTTAAATGAATTTTAAGATTTTACAAAATTTCTAAGTATATTCGATGTAATTATTTGAATATCAAATATTACTCCAAGTCTTTCAAAGTTCATTTTAATCCTTACTAAAGTGTAAAATTGTGTTTTATACTTAAACTATTTTAAAACAATTTTACAAAGTATTTCGAGCCTTAATCGAGCCAAAAATATTTTCTTTTTAAAGGGTTTCAAGAAAAATCATATTGTCCAGGGGTACAGATTCCCCCCAGGGGGAACAGATTCCCCCCAGGGGGTATCGATTCCCCGGGAACAGATTCCCCCCAGGGGTATCGATTCCCCGGGTACAGATTCCCCCTGCATGGTTTGGCTCCGAGAAATAACTGTTTACTCGGAGAGAACCGATTCCCCCTTGAGGGTACCAATTCCTTCACTTTTCATCAGCCCAACGGTCATAATATTTGAATATTATGAAGGGGTATCGATTCCCTATGAAGGGGTACCGATTCCCCCCATTCTTGACAGCCTATTTTTACAGAAAAATCATTCCCAAACGGCTCCAAAACATCCCCAACGGCTAGATATGACTTCAAACACATTCCAAGCTATAAATACAAGCTAAGGACACTTGAATAAGTAAGAGAACAACTATCCAAGCAATCAAACACAAGAGAAGAACTTTTCATTCTTATTTCATCTTTCTCTTGTATATATTTTGTTCTTGTGAGCTCAATCTTGTAAACACCTACCTTAGAGAGGTTTTCTTGTTTACATTTCTTATCCTTTTGTAAAGGGGAAAGGTTCTAGCTAATATCGTGTAAAAGCTAGGGAAAGGTTCTAGTTTAGCCCGGAAAAACTAGGGAGTTTGTAAGGTTACTCTTTATCCTCAAAAAAAAGAACATATTAGTGAATTTGTTGGAAAATCCTTGGTGAGGAGCTAAGGTAGTGGACGTAGATTTTGATTGAGAAAGTCGAACCACTATAAATCGCTGTGCAATTCTCTATCTTTCAATCTCCTTACTCCTAAACCAAAACCGTTCCGACCCTCTTTGCAAACCGTTCCGGTTGTCGATTCGAGCTTCCAAAATCCAACAAGTTTGTGAGATACAAGAAATCTATATATTATGCCCTTTATGATCTCTACTTTTATAATGAATTATTTGTTTTTCTTATCAATAGAGGTAGATAAGACCACACCATGTCAAAAAGCTCGTCTTACATTATCTTAATTTTATCTTATCTTATTTTGATTTCTCTTCTCCTTACAAATTTCTAAAAAGAATCATGAGTTATGATTTGAGTGGTAGAGTTTCAAAGTAGTTTGTTGGTGTGGATTTTGTTAGCGATGTTGAAGTTTATTACATACGAATTTAACGTGGTTAAATATCTAAAATTTTTAAATTCGTATATATTTTAGATATTTTCTTTATATTTTTGCCCCTCTAAAATTTTATAAGCTTGCCACTCCTAACATAAAATCCTGCATCCGTCCCTGCTTGATGGTGGTGTTTTAATGGATATTTGACTTACACAAATTTAAGTTGATAAGACTTGAATGCTAATTTTTTGATGAAATTTGTTTTAGGGAGAATGTTGCATGTTAACTAAAATTCTAATTCTTAATTAAGTTGAATTTTATTGTAATTCTAGTGGTTAAAGATTAATAGGTGAATAAGTTTATATGGATAAAAATAAGGATAAGCTACACGTTTAGTAGCTAAATTATTATTTTTGTTTCGTTTTGGTACCTAATTTTTTTTCTTTCAAAACCATATCTAATGTTTAGTTTATATTTCATTTTGGTACCTCGCCGTTAAATATTTAACGGTGATGTTGGTGTGTCATTATAAGGTAATGTATGTGTCATAATTGAAAATATTTTTAAAGAAATGAATGCTATCAATTCTATTAAGTTTTTAACGACTGATACAAAATTCAAGCATAAACTAAACATTAGATATGATTTTGAAAAAGAAATTTGAGTACCAAAACAGAACAAAAGTAATAATTTATTAACTAAACGTGTAGTTTACCCAAAAAACTTGAAGTAAGAATTCTAGGCGACTAAGTTTGTTTTCTCTATAAATATAGAGTATGTATTCACCTTTATAATTATGAGAGAGAATTATTTTGAAGAGATGTAATTATTTTTGTGATATTTGCAACTATTAGAGTTTATGATATATAAATTATTTCGCTTTTTTAGACACATAAAATTTTTGAGATTATATGTATTTATATTATTCATGATATTTTTTATTTATAGTGGATTATTTGATTATCTAATAGAAATAAAACTTAATAGACCATGTTATTAAAACTTGATAGAAATAAATAGTTTTGATTTGACCATGTTAATAAGACTTATGTTATCAAAACTTAATAGAATTATTTATTTATTTTAACACGTAAGATCCAAATTATACATTTAATAACTATAAAGTGTTTAAAAATAGATCAATACATTTTAAATATACTTTGAATTAAATTTAAATTAGTATATAGTATCTTAGTAGATAACTAGACTAACAGTTGATCTAATTAAAATTGGATCGTTTTAAAATTTATATATTAATTTAAAATCTTAGCCATAGATTCATTTAACTCGTAAAAGAAAAAACAAACATTACGAATTTACTTCATTTGTTGTCTCTGCCGGAGCAACCAAACGGAAAAACAGGTGAAGCGAGTTGGAGCGAGAAAGTGGAGGATTTGGTGGCTGCCGGAGACAAGCAGGCCGCCATTACTTTCCTCGAACACCTCATTTCTTAAATCCAAACGACGTCTTCCGACGATCTCCGATTAGCCTCTGCTATTTCCGACTTAGCTTCCCTCTATTCCTCCATCGGTTTCTCCCTTAAATCCGATGAACTTCTTTCACGCGCTTCTCTTCTCAAAGTCCGTACTCACTCTTCAAGGTACTTTCTTTCTTTTTTTCTCTTTACTTTTAATGTAAATGGAAATGATTTCATGGCTAAATTTCCTGCCTTTCTTTGAACTTCAGTGCGGGAATGAAAAACAAGGACTTGAAGGATTCTTTAACGTCACCTAATGTTTCTTTGGCTGCAAATGGCAATCCTTTGACTCACGGTGCAACTCAATTTACTTACTCTTAGCTAAACCTTCGCTTGATTCCTTTTTTTGTTTCTGAATGCACATATAGTATTTCGGTGCTTAGATACGATAAAAAGTTTGCTTCTCTTGTGGAATGGTGTGATGGGGACAACCTAATATCTTGGGGTTTGGGGGGATTTTATTGCATTTATCTCTTATGAACTATGTGTAACTGATTTTTTTTCCTTTTAATGGTTGGCTAAAGCGAATCTTGGAAAGTTGCCGGCATTTCCCGATGATTGTTTGCCACCTAACTCATCTGCAGATGATGGTATGTTTTATTTTAGTAGTTTTGCTCCTCGGAATGAGTTTTTTTTTGGTTCCCTGAAAAGGATGACCTGCTATGTAATTGCAATTCTAATTGTACAGATTGAGAAGCCATTGCGGATCGCGAAGCAAATGAGATACTTTCTTCAGAATGTTTGCCTGGAGTATCAAAACTTTCTTTGGAGGATAGTAAAGCCGAAGCCCCTAAGAGACGCGGAAGGGGGACATTTTCTTATAAAAGAAGTGATTTGTACAGTGATCACTCTCTGACATGTCTGCTCCTGAAGATACTGAGAATGAGGATCTGGGGAAACACCCTGAAACAAAACGGTGGAACGTAAGCCTTTGTCTCAAAATTCCATATTTTGTTTCCACAAATGTTCTATATTTGTACAAGATAGGTAGCCAAGTCTTTTCTTAATGAACCTGAAACTATGTTTATTTGCTTCTTTCCGGGCCTTGACCTATTGAGACATAGGATTCCTTTCAAACTGAAATATTATACACTGTGTTTTGACTACAGACTTTCTTCAATCTTGTCATCTCTTTCAATGATTTCAAGTTATTTATGGTCTTTCCTTCTTCTTTTTCCCTGGTCAAATATATCTTTATAAAAAGTCGAATGAAAGTTTCTGTATATGGTTTGTAACTTTGTGTTATCTTTTTCTTTTTTTGTTCTTATTTATTTTACTTCATTGTAGTAAGATAAATTCAAGTCACAATATGGGGAAAGGAATAAGTTATTTTCATGGATTTGAATATGTTCCTGTTAAACCTCTAAAACCAAGGCTGATTGTAGTTTGACAGTCAATTCTCATGTTAACTTTTCTGTATTGTCTTTGTAGATCATACTAATCATTAGGGTTGGAAATTCTTTTGAATGCAGCTAAATATGGCACACATCATGTTCTTGTTTTGGCCGACTTTTCACCAAGTACTAGGACACAAGACCTAGAGAAGCTTTTTGAGAACTTCAGAGATCGAGGAGTTTCCATTCGCTGGGTCAATGATACAACTGCCCTTGCAGTATTTCGAACACCTTCTATTGGTAATAGTTACTAACTTCGTCGTTGATGTTCTGTGAAATAGATTTCTAAAGTTAGTTTGAGGTAGGTGATATCTTTTTAAAAATGTTTCCACTAGTTTAGAGAACCGGAACTGGTATCATCATGGTTGTAGCTCTTTAATGTGCATCGTTCAAACTTGGGGCTGGATACAAGCATTATTCCCCTTGATTAAATACTTGTCCAAGAACATGATGCAATTATGGAAAAGATATCTCCACCCATACCGTTTGGTTGGAATGGTGAACAAACTTTGTATGTTTCACCTTTCTTGAGTGACCATCTATCCTTCAAATTTAGTTGTGTAAATTAGTTGATGAAACATGAACTCTTCAGCCTAATTTTTATGTGCTTTCATCTCAAAGTCAATAAGAGATCAGAATGCAAACATTTTATGTGCCACATATGTCCATGGGAATCGTTCAAGTAGAAACAAACATAGGACTTGTAAAGAAATCAACTTGAATTGCATCTAGTGTTGTCTATATGGACTATAGTGACAATATCAGACCTTGAATCAGCATCACTTCTATGGAATGTTTTTATTTTTCATTTCGAACCACTTGAACAATCTTAGCATAGCTCTTAAGAAAGGGTAAAACATGTTTGTGTTGTCCTATCTACAATCAGCTTGCAAAGTTCTGCAACAATAGTTTTTATTTGGCTAACTATCTCAAAATTTGATGCCAGCCCTTGAAGCCCTCAACTATGTTTGCTGTCCATTTACTGTACGCATACTTGATAAGGATGATGCACTCTTGGGCTCAATTTCGGCTAGAGGTATTTTAAATAGGCTTACTTTCATTTAGTTGGACAATAACAGCTGCGTTCCAATTTTAAATGCTCCATGTGCATTTCTTCTTCAGTTTGGCTATTGGTTCCTTGCATTTTTATTTCTTTATTTATTTATATTTGGTATTGTAGGTCTTGCTTTGTTTTGTTTTGTTTATGCATTTCATTTGCATTCCATGCCTAGTAGATAGTATATTCTTCATTTTATAAAATGATGCAACTTCTCTGTTCAAAGTGTTTCAGTTAGCTTCTCAAGTAACAAACATCAAAAAATAAAAGGAGAGAAAAAAATGATGTTATTGCATTTTGGGCTTATGTTTGCATAATTTAGAGTTGTAAGATTTATCTAATGAAGGAATATGAAAGCCAGAAAAAAATTTGATATCGGTGAATACATGTTCTGTTCATTTCCCAGATTTGGAGCCGCCTCGGCAAAGATCACAAACATCAGCAAGAACTGCCCAGAGGATGATTGCTCAGGCAATAGGGTCGAAATTTACATCCACCTTTGGGTCTAGAGAACTGAGAAACCAGGAAGAAGCCAGGAGGAACCGAATAACTACAAGGCAAAAGTTGAGAGATGATGCCTGGGGCGATGATTGAATTGAATATAGGGTTCTTATGTTAATCAATACATTGTTAACCATCCAAAGGGAAAAAGGAAAAGCAAAAATGGAGCTTAAATACTTGTTTGCTTGTACTCAACAGGTTCTGCAACACAACTAGGGATAGCTTAATAACCAGTTTCATATTTTCTTTGAAGATTAACGTTGATTGCATGATCGTCTTCACCTATGACACATTTCTGGAAAAATGTAACTTTGATATCAAACCGGGTTTATAATGCTACTTTAACACCTTCAAAATGTTCAACTTTCACGATAAAACATGTTATTCATTACAAGTTGCTGCCAGATTATCATCATATCCATGATGTCTCTTGGCAATTATTTGAAACAAATGAAAAGCATCCATGCAGCATGCTGTCATTCACAGTTCTAGAGGAGTACTTACGGTCAAAGACTGCTCTGTCATGAACATCAGCTAATTAAGGATTTGACATATCCACATTGATTCAACTTCATGATCATGACCATGATCATCATCAATGATTCTAATGAGTGAGATATATGGTGAAGTGGGGATGTTGTCATTTACTTTTCCGCATATACTCTCTACCAGGCCATTTGAAACCTCAAACAAGCGGACCTCTTTCAAATGGGTTAGATGCTCCCAACCATATGGCAATCTCCTCAGCTCTCTGCACCTCAAGACTTGTAGTTCTTCGAGATTTGGCATCGCTCCTCTCTCCACCAGAATCTCATTCAACTGAGGGCACCCCATTATTTCTAAAATCTTAAGCTTTGGGAATCCTTCAATAAACCATAAGCGCTCTCCTAGAAATGCATTACTTAAAAGACTGAGATGCAACAAATTAGGCAATGCTTGGATGTGAGGAAGTGCATCCTCCCACAATTCTGACCACTGTAGGTTCAAGTATTTGAGGTTGTATAGGGTGTTAAACCATCGCGGCACCGTTCTCAATTTCCCGATTAGAAGAAGCTTCTCAAGATGCCTAGGAGCCGACGAAAGAGCATCTAGCTTTAGTGTAGCCTGAGGTCGAGCAGTTAATGATAAGTGGTGAAGGTGTTCCATTCTTTCACTGAGATGCATAGGGGTATTTCATCAGCTTCTGTTATTCCATCAAGTCCAAGCCTTCTCAATTGTGTCATTTCTTTGAGCTTAATCAAGAAGGCATCCACTCCTTTAACATATAAAACTTGCAAACTCTTTATCGTACAAATGTTTAGTGGTACACATATGCCCTCTATAGTTGGAAGAGTAAATCTGTATCACTTACTACCAAATAGGAAGCTCTTAGATGCCGCAAATTCTGCAACATCATGATTTCATCTGGGAGCTTCTGAATTTTGACGAAGTTCAGGAGTAATGTCAGCAAGTTAGAAAGTCTACCGATCGATTTTCGGAAGCTCCTTCACTTGAGTTCTTGACAAGTTCAGATATCTCAAATTGAATAAATCTCCAAATTCCCTTGGGAGTTCATGGATTGGAGCATTCTCTAAATCTAGTACTCTTAACAACTTCAAACCAGATGGCAGTTCATAGTGCAAAGATTTAGAAATTTCGCCAACAACGAAAACAATTAAGGAACGAAGTTTGACGTACCATTTCCCGGCATTATCTCGCCATCCGTAACTTGAATCGAGTAGCGACGACTTCCTTTTTCTTCTTTCCTCTCTTCCCATCAGATACAGCAACGAATTTTCTTCTTTCGATATTGAAAGTGCGAAATCTCGTATGAGATCATGCATTTTAAATGCCTTGGGCCTTCCAAAATAGTTTCTCCATGCGACTTGAAGCAAATTTCGTCTAATGAGATCCATTAGGTAGCTCTCAGCAATAACTTCCGGTGGTGTATCATTAGCCTTCTCCAGAAAGCCTTCTGCCATCCACAGTCTAATGATTCTTTTTCGTCCTATGTCGTAATCTTCAGGGAAAATACAGCAGTACAAGAAGCAATGCTTGAGTTGGAAAGGCAAATCATGATAACTAAGTAGTGAGATAGTTCTCACCAATTCAAGTGAAGGGTTGTTGCCGAGCTCCCAATTCAAATTATCGTGAACTCTCTTCCATTCTGCTAACGACTTCTTCGAAGACATCAAACCGCCGAGCGCAGCAATAGCTAACGAAGGCCTTGGCATTTTTCAACTAGATTTCTTGCCAAGGAATCAAGATACGACGGACATCCTCCTAGCTCGTTTGGAAAAGCTTTCACACAAAACAGTTTCCAGGCCTCATCGATTCGTAGGGGTTGAATTCGGTGGATGTAGCTTACAATTCCGGATTGGAAAGGAGCTACATCTTCTTTACGAGTAGTAATCATGATCCTGCTTCCACGCATACCTTCCGGAAGGGCTATATTGATCGTGCCAGAATCGAATGCTCCACACATCATCTAAAACAATAAGGACCTTCTTGACTGCAAGAATTGCAACTCTTCTATTGCATATTGTTGGGAGACAGTGATCCAGTGCAGAAATCAAAATGTTGCTTAACATTTTGTTTGTTGAAAGTGTTGGCAACAAGAGTGGTCTTTCCCGAACCACCCATGCCAACCACCGAGACGACGGTCCGTTTCGGTTCTTCATTCATTAGCCATCCCAACAATTCATGCTGTGCTTTTCTGATCCCCACGAGATCGTCGTCTTTAAAGTAAAGCGACGCCTCGCTCAACCTGTTCTTCCAATTAGGATCATGGTGAGAAGAAGCATCAACCCTTTCTTCAAGCTGTTGAACTCCAAATTGGTTGGCTTTCTCTGTGATCTTTTCATCCTCGTATGATATCTTTCAACTTGGTTGCTACTTTATGCCTCACCAGCAAAACCTTGGGGAAATGAAGGGTTCGATGGAGGAAGCTACATTGTCTTTGCCGATTCAAGTGATAAATGTATTCATCGATGGCGTCTTCAACTTGGTATGCAAGGTCCCGGATACTTCCGACCCAAGCCTTTTGTGTTTCACTATTTTCACCAGCTCTATCAGCATCCACAAGAAAGGATGTGATGGTTTGAAACAGAGCTTCATCTCTTGGATTTCATTAGAAATGCCAGCTAAAGAAGAAGCTTCGTTTTCTAGGTTGAGATGAGTTGGCCAAGAAAAGGATCTAAACTGTTTGAAGCCATTGCAGCTCCTCAATGTGAAGTGTGAACAATAGCTAAACAGAACCTAATCAACATATCTATTAACAAGCTAACATGGTGGTGGAAAACAGAGAAAATAAAGCAGAGAGAGATTCATACTTTGCAAACAGAAAGATGAGCAAGATTTGTTGATGAATGAGCTGCTTTGCTAATTGCACTTGCCACTAGAGACAACGTTTCCAGGTCAACACGTACAAGAAAACGATTTAAGAAAACGCGTTAAGTTAAAATAATCAACAGGTTGTTTTTCTTATTTTATTTTAAACAAAAACAATCGTTGACTGAAGCTTTAAATTTGTGGGCAATGGACCTGAATCGTGGAAAAATCACTTTATCGTTAACATAACCATTAATATTTTAACGGGAACTTAACTAGTATAAATATAATTTCATAATTACCAGATTTATTTTAGTTAATTTTAATATTAATAATTACTCATAAAATTGGATATTCTTTAGTTGCTAATACTCCACGATAAGTATCACATAATCATTAAGCTACAAAGCGTACAATAATTGGATTAACTGGCTTAAAATGCCATCTAGTATGTAATTTAACAAAAATAGCACATATGTAGCAGATATGGATTCTAGATCATATTCCCTGCAATCAGTGTATTCATGGCTCTCGAGCGAGAAAATGAAGCCGAACCAGAATTAATGGCTACACAATGTCATCAGGTATCTTTCTGGACAGGTTCTCATCCCAGAACCCCAACATTTAAGGACACCGTCCCTGTGGATGGATCTGGCTTGATCACAAATTGAACATCTAGAAAATCCTTGATTTGCCTTAGCGTTTCAATTCCATATGGTGACAATTTTCCCACACGAACCTTTGAAACATCTTTCGGACAAAGTGCACAAAGAAGGAATAACAAACCCTACAAACCAAACAATGGGTTATGCTGTTAAGTAACCACATACACTAACCCAAAACGAAATATTACAAGTAGCTTATGAAGTTTCATCTTATTCTGAAGAAGAAAAAAACATTCTTATCAAGATAAATCTTATGTTCAAATGGAACTTGATAAGATGCCACATGGTAAAGCTTAGATGTCAAACCCTGGGTAAAAACCAGTTCTTTTGTATGACAAGTCTACTAAGTTAAAAAAGATGATTAAATATGGAATAACTTCCATTTTCTTGGCCAGTTAAGATATTTCGATTTCCTAAAAGGAAAAAAATATGGAAAATAGAAAGGAAAACAAGGATCAATAAAAGCAGAACAGCCAGAACTAAACCAATATAATCAGTATGAAGACAAGGCCAATTGGCCATATTGTTATAAAGATTTTAACAGGAGTCCATTTCCATGTTTACAACTTAAATCTTTTAAATCTCTAGTGGAAGATAAACACAACAGGACAAAATAAAGGAATGATATGCAAAAAAAAATATTTACTAAACTTGTATGTATCCAAATCAGCAGATTAGCAGAGGTAGAAAGCTTTTGATTAATGCAAACACTGCCCATCTTCTTTGATTCATGCTAAACATGAAGACTTCATTTTAACCCCCCCCCCAACACACACAAAAAAAAAAGGAGTTTTAGATGAGCATAATATTCTAAACAAAAAAAATCACATTTTATGTAAAAATTATCCTAGTCACTGCTCATACATACAAACAATACTGTATACATGATAAGCAATAAATTTAAAATTTAAGCTATTAGTTCAATGTTAATGAAGAATGAAGACAGAGTGATATCACGAACATAAAATGGCATTAGAATAATGAAACTGGACGGTGGCAGGTTAATGGAACAGAAACTTTGAAATACAAACCTGGTGAGTTGAATCCACCACTCCACCTTTCTCAATCTCTTCAAGAAGCACAGAAGCAATTTCTCACCAACATCAGCTGCAGGTATCAGCTCTTTCTTGTCCTCACTTTCAATATCTTCTGCTTCTCCCCCATAAGAAATTGTAATATCAGCAGAGATGCAGCAACCAGAAGTAGTTTCAGCAACTAGTGAAATTCCATCCGGTGAGCTGTGTATTAAGGGAAAAAATTTTGAAATTTCCTGGTTACGATAAAAAAGGAAAAAAAATAAATTTC